ATTACACCAAGGTTAGTTTTTTAAAGAGTATGTATTCAAATAAGTAACATAGGCACAAGGTAAAACATTCAAACAGCACAAAAGGGGTGCAGCTCTCCCTAGAGGCCACGGCCTGAAAGTGTCTTATGTTTCCTGAGATGCTCTGTGCACGTGGAAGCATGTGGATTTACATGTGTGTACGTCCCTGCTTTCTTTTTTGCATAAATAGACTATTCCTGATGTCCTGCCTTTGCTATATCCACGTAACCATCTTGTATTAATAGTTCATTCTGAATCAGAACATGCAAATCCATCTCCACCTCCTGATTTTCGAAAGCTGCAAGGTCCGAAAGTTATTTAAGTTTGTAGGGGTTGCGGGAGTGGCGGGGCCAACCCTTATCCCAATTTTTCAGCTGAGAGAGCTGAGGCTGTGGGGTGATTACCTGTCTGATGTCACGTGGTGAGTAGGTGGCCCACTGGAGATTTGAACCCAGGTCTCCAGGACGTTGGTTGGGTGGTGAAGGAAGGGGTTGCACTGCTCACGGGATGGCAGCTGCTGGCACCAGGGCCAGCTCTCCCGACCCTCCGGGTTTCCTTCCTTTCTCCCAGCATGACGTCGGGACAGCCCCTGCACGTGAAGACGCCCATCCGCGAAAGCATGGCCCTGTCCAAAGTGGCCGGCACCAGCGTCTACCTCAAGATGGACAATGCCCAGCCCTCTGGCTCCTTCAAGATCCGGGGCATCGGGCACTTCTGCAAAATGGTATAGGATGGGGTCTGCGTCATCTTTTCGGGGTGGGGTGGGGCGGTGACAGGTCCTCCTTCCTTGACAGGGCAGGGCCTGTGCTGTGTGAAATGACAGGAGTCCCAGGCTAGGCCACTGAGCGCCCACCATTAGGGCCTCCTCTGGTTAAGGGGCCAGGAGGGTCCCTATGGACCGATCCCAGAGCCATCTGTCACCTCCTTCCTTCACCCTTCGCTGAGCCGGTCTCTTTAGAGAGATGAGGAGAGAGCAAATTCCGAGTGAGGGGAGAAGAGGTCAGTGGCAATCGGAACCACTGGAAGGTGTTCCAGGTGGGAGGAGGAAGCCAGGCGAAGGCTGGGCGGTGGGCCTGACTCCTGCCCTCTTGTCTCTGCAGTGGGCTGAGCAGGGCTGTGAACACTTTGTCTGCTCCTCGGGTAAGTGCCCTGCGTCCCCCTCCCGCCCTCTGCTGCGTGTCCAGGCCAGGGTTTCCCTGCGATGAGCCATCGCAAACATTTGCAGCAGTCCCCAGTTTGGGATTCTACAGGGAGGCCAGTGGTCACCCGGGGTGGGGGGAGAGTCCAGAGCCCCAAGTGGCTCCCAGACCCTCCTGCTCTGACGCACTCCCCACCCCCACCCCTGGCAGCAGGCAACGCCGGCATGGCGGCTGCATACGCCGCCAGGAAATTGGGCGTCCCCGCCACCATCGTCGTGCCCAGCACCACGCCCGCCCTCACCATCGAGCGGCTCCAGAACGAAGGTGCCACAGTCAAGGTGGTGGGTGAGGTGAGTGCTGAGCCAGGGCAGGGGCCGCAGAGGGCACGGTGTGGCTGGACAGGGTCTCCCCAGAGCCTCACCCCTCCCGCACCCCCTGTGGCCTTGCAGACGTTGGACGAGGCCTTCGAGCTGGCCAAGGCTCTGGCGAAGAACAACCCAGGCTGGGTCTACGTCTCCCCGTTTGATGACCCCCTCATCTGGTACGTGGAGTGCGGGCTCACCTGGTGTGGGTGGCACTGGGGCCGTCATATGTACAGCAGCTGCACAGGCGTGCACGGACCCTCCCACTGGGGCGCACTCCATCACGTAGAAGTGTGCACACATGCACACACACAGAGACACCACGGCAGGCACACACACACGTGTATCAAATGCCTGTGCTCCATGGCTCTGCACACGCAACACGTCCAAGAGCAAACGCCCGAGCGCGCAGGCGCACAAGTGGCCACGTGCGCTCCCCAGATGCAGACGCTGAGACAGAGCTCTTAGTGGCAGCGGTTTATTTGTGTGGAGGGTCAGCGGGGAGTGGGTAAGTGAGATGGGGCAGGAAGGGGACTGATCAAGGGAGCTTTCGTGGGCAGGTGACTGCTGCGAGCAGATGGAGCTTAATTCCCTGGGGACCCTGGGAGCCAGCGCAGAAGGCGCACTGCAGAGCTTTCCCTCCCGCGAGAGGAGCGGGGATGTTTACACAACCCCACGGTCGTCAGTCGAGGGCTGCTCCCGGGGGTGCCAGCTCCTGGCACTGCCAGTTGCCCCATTTGTGGGCAGCTCCAGTGGCCAGAGAAAGCCTTCAGGTAGACACAGATGCTGGCAGCTGGAAGTCAAGGTGGAACCCGGGGAGGGGACTACCCCAGGGCCCATCAGCTGCCTGGGATGAGGCCAAGTGCAAACCTGAGCTGGTGTGTCCCAGGGCCCCTGCCTGGCATCTCCAGGAAGCCCAGCCCTGACCTGCCACCCTCTCCCCCGCCCTCCAGGGAAGGCCACACTTCCATCGTGAAGGAGCTGAAGGAGTCCCTGAGTGCAAAGCCGGGGGCCATCGTGCTGTCAGTGGGTGGCGGCGGTCTGCTGTGTGGAGTGGTCCAGGGGCTGCAGGAGGTGGGCTGGGGGGACGTGCCCGTCATTGCCATGGAGACCATTGGCGCCCACAGCTTCCACGCCGCCACTGCTGCGGGCAAGCTCGTCTCCCTGCCCAAGATTACCAGGTGAGCAGCTGGAGTGCCTCCGTCGGGTGTCCAGCAAGCATGGGGGACACATTGGCTTCAAGGTAGATCCTGATGTCAGCCCATTTTACAGGTGAGGAAACTGAGGCTTTGGTCTCTTGCCCAGAGTCACACAGCCAGAGACTGGTACAGCAGGGACTTGAACCCAATCTGTGTGACTCTGTACTATATCACGCTTCCTCACATGAGAAGTCTAATGTTAATCATTTATTGAGTTTCTCTGTGTTAGGGTTTTACACACCCCATTAACTTGCCAACTATTTACTGAGCCCCTAATATGTACAAGACACTGGCAGACCCTGGGGAGAGAGTGGTGAATAAACACAGCTCCTGCTCCCAAGGAGTTCGTATCACAGCCCCAAACCTTTGACAGATGGTGTTTAATTAGGATTAGGTTTTGGCCACACTACATAGAAGCCCAAAATAACAGTGGCTTAAACAGGATTGAACTTTATTTCTCTCATACATAAAAAATATAGAGAGGTGGATGGTCCAGGGAAAATTCCATGAAGTCAGGGTCCCAGGGCCCTTGAGTTTGTTGCCCCACCGTCCTTAGCATGCAGCCTTATGGTCCAAAACAGCTGCTTGAGTGCCAACGATTGCAACTATATTCCATCTCACAGGAAGGAGAAAGCGAGGGCAGAAGGCTATGCCTCAACCTTTAAAGACAGACAGACACGCTTCCACTTACCTCTCATTGGCCAGAACTTAGTCACGTGGCCACACCTAGCTGCAAGTGAGGCTGGCAAATGTCTTTATACAGGCGTGCATGTGGGTAGCTAGAAGGGATGCTGGGGCAGACAATAGGCTCTGCCATAGACAGGAGAAGACTGAATCCAGGTAAGAACTTCTGGATTCCTGAGCCCGGAGCTGCTGTGTTGGCCTCCGCTCCCACACTGTAGGGACTGAAGAAGTCCCGGTTGAGTGCCTGCCGTGAGCCACGTGCTGTCCAAGGACTGAGGGGCCCAGGCCATCGAGACGCTTATGGGCGAGGAGGGGAGGCGAGAGGGGAGCTGAGCCGGGAACAGGACTGGTGGTCCCTCGGGGAGGCTGGGGAGGGCATCCCACGTCGGGCACCAGCGCCAGTGCCAGCGCCACCACTCCCTAGCTACATGACCTTGGGCAAGTGACCGTACACTCTCTGCCTCTGTTTCCCCTTCTATAAAATGGAAGCGATTGGTAACAGCAAAAACTGTTGCGATCGTTAACTAACGCTTGTGAAGTGCTTGGCACCCAACACTTTCTCAAGAAGTCCTCACTGTTGGTGTCCCCTGGCTCTGTTTCCTTCATCCTCATTTCTTTCTCTGTCCCCACCTCTCCTAGTGTTGCCAAGGCCCTGGGCGTGAAGACCGTGGGAGCCCAGGCCCTGAAGCTGTTCCAGGAACACCCCATTTTCTCTGAAGTTATCTCGGACCAGGAGGCTGTGGCTGCCATTGAGAAGTTTGTGGGTATGTGCCACGGCCTCTCAAGACCCAGCCTGCTGGCTATCCACTGGGTGTGCCAAGGGATCCCATTCACCCCAAATTTTCTTCCCACTTGTGTCTCCCATCCCTGCCTAGAACATCCCATTAATGGAAGGTAATATAATACAATGTAAAAATAGAAAACCAAAAGCCACAAATGAAGAAGTGAGGCTGATAACTATGACAGCAGGGGACAATAACTGAGTATTTAAAATGTTGACTCTGAGCTTCCTGGTAGCCAGGGTGAAAAAGAAAAGCATGGGACTCAGAGTTGGACTCAGAGGTGGGTCTGTAACTAGGCTGGACTCTTTCTGGGTTCAGCCTAGAGGACAGGCATGGCAGGAAAAAGAAAAAAGTCCTGGCACAGTGGCTCACGCCTATAATCCCAGCACTTTGGGAGCCTGAGGCGAGAGGATCACTTGAGGCTGGGAGTTTGAGACCAGCCTGAGCACCATAGCTAGACCACATCTCTACAAAAAAAATTTTTTAAAAATTAGCCAGGCACAGTGGCACATTCCTGTATTCCCAGCTACTTGGGAGGCTGAGACAGGAGAATTGCTTAAGCCCAGGAGTTTGAGGTTATAGCGAGCTGTGAATGCATCACTGCACCCCAGCCCGGGTGACAGAGTGAGACCCTGTCTCTAAAAGAAAACAGGTAGCATTTATTCTGCCACTTATTCTGCTGTATCCACAGCTAACTTAGCTAACTTGGTTAATCAACCATCCCACTCTTGCTCAGATGATACCTCAGAATCCTTCTCAACACAGTGCGCAGGCAATTCCGATCATCGTATCAGTATTAGGGCTCATGATGAACCCCAGGCCCTGAGTCTGTGGCCAGGGCACTCCCAAGTCCCACCAGTGGCCTGCCAGTCCCCTCGCACCCAGGCGACCAGGCCCCGACCTTCACCATGCCCTCCCCGGCAGATGAGGAGAAGATCCTGGTGGAGCCCGCCTGCGGGGCGGCCCTGGCTGCCGTCTACAGCCGCGTGGTCCAGAAGCTGCAAGGGGAGGGGAAGCTCCGAGTTCCACTGCCGTCCCTGGTGGTCATCGTCTGCGGGGGCAGCAACATCAGCCTGGCCCAGCTGCGGGCCCTCAAGGAACAGCTGGGCATGAAGAACGGACTGCCCAAGTGAGGACGCCTCACCCACGTGTCCCCTCCTGAGCCAGGAGACCCTGCAGGTTCTGGAGCTTTATCCAGCGCCTTGCTGTAAATATTCTTGTTTGGTGGTGAGCCTGCGGCCCGGGCTGGCGGGTTAGCTTCCCATCACGAGCCCACCGTGCACAGGGGCCAGCAGGTCGGTGCCAGTGAGGCTGAGTTGGGTCCTCGGTATCTGTGACTGCTCTGTGCACGTCCTTGGCCACTCTGCTAGGGAGACAACCGCCCACAAGTGAGCCAGGTCCCCAGAGCTGGGTGGGTGGCAGGGACCTGAATCACAGCAGGAGGGGTCTCCTGGAAGCAGTGACCCCGCCCCAGGCTTCCCCCCTGAGAAAGCGGACAGGGCCTCGGTCTGGGGTCGAGGAACCGTCCCGTCCTTCCTCCCAGGAAGCCCAACCTCCACCCTGACTCATTTTTCTAAGGTGCAAACTTTTTCACTGAAAAAAAAAAATTATGTATTTATGAAAAAAGATCCTTCTCCTCTGAGTTCTTCCTTCTGCCCTCCCCTCCTTGCACCCCGCCCAAGCCTGCTCTAGCCCCAGCCCTCAACTGGGAGCGGACCCCACTCGCCCCCCCACGGCGAGGCCAGGGCCCCGACTCCAGCCGGGCTTGCATGCTGTGCCGGGAGGGGACATCCCCACGGCACAGGGAGCGGGTGGCTGAACAAGAGGGACTCGGGTGGGACAAAAGTTGCCTGCGCGGAAGCACATCCAGCTGCAGAGGCAGGTGAGGCGACCCCACTCTGACGCGAAGTCCTTCCGGGTGAGTCAGATTTCATCCCAGACCCGCTGGGAGCAGAGGGGTGTGCAAACGTGACGCTGGACACCCATCTCGGGGACAGGGAAGGCGGGGGTGGACTTGAGGTCAATGTCTTGCAAACCCTCTTGAAACACGAACCTTCTCTTCCAACAAAAGCTTAGGCAGAAGCCCCCATCTTCGAGATCAAAGAGGACTTGCCGAGGCTGACACTTGGGTCCGGAGGGACCCCACACACACACCAGCCACACTCAGGATTGTCCCCTCACCACCTAGAGCAGCCTCTAGGGCACTTTTGGGGGGACCTCAAGTTCCAAGTGAAGTTTAAGAACCACGCTGATCTGCTCGGGCTGGCAGATCCCCAGCCCCAGTCAAAACCAGGGCTGCAAGGTTTCGGGGACAGAGTGGAAAACTGATCCCAAAGCCACCCCGGAGCCAGGCCGACCTACTGGTTTCCACTCAGGAGAGGCGGCACGCGCAGTTTAGACACCTGGGGCACGGACGTGCGGGAGGGCTGCAGAGACGGGAAGTCAAGGCAGCGCCTTGGCCCCAGAATGCTTGCTGGGGGTAGCGTGGGGCTGAAATAGTTCAGTTCAGGAAAACCTGCTTGGAACAGGATCGCCTCTGGCTTCCACTGTCCCGCCTGAGCCAGGCATGAAAGCCCCAGAAGGGGCGAGGGAGTCATTTCTGTCTGCTAGAGGAGGCCAGAGCACTGCAGTCCAGGGCTGACCAGCTGGCCAGAGCCTTGGCCCTCAGGGTAGGGCAGACCCACAGATGCGCCTGCAGCCGCCATCCTGAAGCTGAGGATTGTGGGAAACTCCCAGCACTCAGGGGCCGAGTGCAGCTGCCTCTGTAAAGTGGGTCTTGCCTTTGCCGAGTCAGCAGAAGTCCCAGCGGGAGACCAGTGGCACGAACCCCCACACTCTGTTCAGAGCCAGCCTGGGGTCATGACCAATCCCGCCTCCCAGGAAGCTGCAAGAGGGGGCAGAATCGTTCTAGGGAATAGCTAGAGTGGCCCGAGGCGAGCTCCCCCATCACCCTGAGCCTCTGCTCGCTCATCTGCCAAATGGGTCTCACAGAAGCCCCAACCTCAGGAACGGCTGTGGAGATTCGGTGACAGGCACACAGTAGGTGTGATCCCTGTTCCGCCCGCACCGTCACAAGGAGATGCGGAAGGAGGGCTGGGCCCCAATCCCGGGACTTGGGACTGTGGGGCATGTCCCTTCCCTCCCACGCCTGCTTCCCCATCTATGAAACACACACGAGGACCCCAGCCCTCCCACCTAACAGGGCTGTCCCCACGATGAGCAGGCTCGGGCAGGAAAACGCTCTCTGGGGAGCCGGGAAACGCACCGGCAGAAAGTCAGTTTCCGAACCGGAAGCTGCCGATTCCCAGATGGCAGGGACTGGGGCGATACAGCGAGGAGGGACAGCAAACCCAGCCCCGGCCGCCGTCTGCGCTTCCTGTTCTCCACAGCGCTTGCCCGCATGGCGCGCGCGGCACGTTTATTAATCGTGTCTGCTGTCTCCCCGGCTCAAACTCCAGACAGCAGGGAGTCTCTGCAGCATTTGTCATGAGCGACCCCAGGACCTCGTAACAGCATCCGGCATGAACTAAGTCTCAATAAGCATTTGCTAATGAATGAATGTTGAGTGTGGGGGGTCCATGTGGGCTGCATCACACCCCCAGGGAAATGCTGCTCACATCGTGACCCTATTTTACAGGTCAGGTTACCAAGGCTCGGACAGATTGAGTCCATAGTTAACAAGATGTGGAGACAGGATTCGAACCCAGGTCTCTGACCTCAGGGCCGGATGCTTTCCTCACCCCAAGGACACAGCACTGGGAGAGTCTGCGTGACAGAACAGGGAGGGGTCCGTGTGGGTCTGTACCTCACAGCACGATCTAGGGGGGTCTTGGTGGTTAACAGGGCCCTAGAAGAGGACCCGGAACATCTGGACGGGTAGACGGACGGATGGATGGATGGAAAATGAGTGGACAGATGGATACGCATGGATGGGTGGATGATTGGAGGTATGCAGACGGACGGATGGATGGATGCTGGATGAGTGGACGGATGGGTGGATGGAAGACGGACGGACAGAAGCTGGACAGGACGATGCACAGTAAACGCTGCAAACCCAAACCTGAGAGGAGAAAAGGCGCCCACCCCGCCTTCCCCGCTGCCCCAAGAAGCACAGCACAGGGGCCACGGCCTGTCTCATTTAATGGCGGCACAGCCTGCGCTTTGTTTCCTCCAGCGGGGGCGGGGGGAGCCGAGCTCGGGGCAGGCCGGGCGGGGCGGGGGCGCGAGGCGGGAGTGCTGGGCTGACAGACCTGCCTGCTGGAGAGAGAAGGACACTCAGGACCCTCCAGCCACACGTGGCCAGAAACTTTGGTTTTGGTTTGTTTTCAAGTTTCTGTCCTCGAGGAAGCTGCCCAGAAAGGGAGACGAGGGGCTGCTTCCCAGGGGAGCACAGGGGCTGCGCCGGGGGCTGGGAGGAGTGACGCCGACCAGAGACGATGCCCAGGGCCGGGGCTGAAACCTCACCAGCGCCAGCGCCCCAGCAGGAACCAGGCCGGAAGGGGGGACGCTGCAGTGGTCCCTCCTACCCGTGGGGGCCCCAGAGCCTGGTGCCAGGACCCCTCCCAAGCCCTTGGGAGGATGAGGATGGGGCCCCAGAGGTGGGGTGGAGGGGCAGGAGACAGAGAGACAGAGAGAGATGCAGGGAGGCAGAGGGGGCACTCGGGGGACGGGGAGAGCCAGCTGGAAGCCGCCCTGGGGGAGATGACCCAGAGGCAGACCCTGTCCCAGCTCAGTGCGCAGCAGGGGCCAAGCCCCCCTCTCGGGGGAGGGGCAGAGGTCGGGCTGGCAGCAGGTGGGGCCCTGCGGGGGCGGCAGGGCCTCATTCCCACCAGACCCGGACGGGCGAGAACTTCCAGAGGTCGGGCTGGCCCATGTGCAGCAGGCCGCTGAAGGGCGAGCTGCTCCACTGGAACGGGGGCACCTGGTCCCACGTGGGGCCGCTGACCGCCAGGAGGCTCAGGGCCTTGGCCAGCGACACGCTGGTCACCTGGGGGCCAGGGCAGAGCAGGTGGCTGAGCCAGGGCCCTGGTCCCCACGTTTGCCTTCACCCCAGAGCCCACTTCTGAACCTGGTCCCAAACCACACTGTCTCCTTGACCTTGACCCCAACCACAGTCCTGCTCTGCCCGGGCCTCCCTAGGGTGGGGGTAGCACCTTCATGTCGATGCCCCCGTGGGAGCGCTGGCGCAGGGCTGGGAAGGGGTAGGAGCCGTTGGCCAGGTTGAGGTCGGAGCGGGCGGAGACGGCGTTCTCCCCGTTGGGCTGGGGGTCGCAGGCACGGCACAGTGACAGGGGGTCGTGGAGGAAGTCGTTGTACCTGGGGGAGAGGGAGGAACACCAGTCACGCCAGGAAGGGGAGGCTGAGGACAAGGCCAACCCTCGCCGCAGCCACCAGCCTGCAACTTGCCCAGCCCCTCCTGCCGCCAGGCCGGCGCTTACGCTGGCCCCTCGGCCTGGGGCCCAAGCCCCCTCATCACTCGGCTCTCTGCTCAGGCCCCTTCCTCAGGGAAGCCCTCCATGCCCCCCACCCAAGCCAGGCGAAGCACCCACGTGGCACATCTCCTGGGTGTCTGACGGCTGCAGACGCATCTGCGTGGGTGTGCGCTTTCCGCGGGCCTCCACCTCCCGAGAGACGGGGCGCTCCCCGGGACAGCAGGGAACAGGCTTTGTGCCTGTCGCTCCCGGCACCAAGCACGGCGCCCAGCACACATGTTCAGCGCCCTCCCTGGAACGTGAGGCCGGCGGCTGCCGCGCTGGCCGGTAAACATCTGACCACCCTGCCGGCCCCCGGGGCTGGCCGTGAGGCCTGAACAGGCTGGTGCAAGGACGTGCACAGGAAGAACGTGACTCGGCCTCACTGTCCCCCACCCGCCGCCCAGCCAGCACCCACCTCATCAGCCGGATCATGGAGTCTATGTCTTGCACCAGCGACTGGTTCCGCCGGAAGATCTGGGCCCGGGGGCTCCCGTCATAAGAAAACCAGTCCCCGTACTTGGCCACCAGGTCCTGCAGTCCACTGGCGTTGAACACAGTCTCAAAGGACCTGCTGGGGACAAGGACTGTCACTCACGACCCACACCAGCCTCGGCAGGCTGTCGCTGTGGCTGGGGAGCTGGAGGGGTGGTCACGCCAGAACGTTATCACTAACAACCAAGACAGTCGGGACAGCGGTAATAACGACTTTCGTTTGTGCCGGCGGTGGCTTGGTAGGGTGGCTGAGCTTGGGCTCTGGGGTCCCACAGACATGGGTTCAAACCCTGGCTTCACCATTCACCAGCAGGGAACCCTGGGAAAGTTAGGCCCGCTCTCTGGCCTCGGTTTCATCGTCTGTGAAGTGGGAACAGGAAACACAGCGACGGCGTATAGCAGTCTAAGGCTCAAACCAGACAACCAGGTAAAGCAGGTGACGGCTCTGCAGCTCCGGATCCGGTTGGAGACTCTGGTCGGTCCCTGGGTGTGGCCATCCCGTGCCACCCTGCTGTGGGTGCCAGCACTGGGAGGTCACATAGGTGCTGACCTAAGCCACACAACTACACCCCCAAACTATCAGCGCTCTCCTGGCCAGAGAAGGGGTAGGGTGGGGTTTCTGTGCTCTGTGGGTTTGAAAATATCGGCCGGGAAGGAGCCTTCGCCCACACACAGAGCTGAGCAAGGGGTGAGGCCAACGGGGAGAGGGAGGGGGCACGTACGGTATGTTGTAGCTGGCCCAGTAGGTCTTCTGGTAGAGCTCCGAGGTCTTGTCCGCCACCATCACCATGCCCCTGGGACCGGCAAAGATGGGGCAGAGGCGGTCAGAAAAGGGGCTCCCATGAGCACTGCCCTGCTCAAGAACCCCTGATGGCTCCCCATTGCCTGGGGGATGGATTATGTCTGGAGCCTGCAGCCCCAATGAGGGACGGCCCTCTCTCCCTCCCCCACTTGCCTTAGACTCTCCCCTTCCCGCGTGCTGCCAGGCCTGTGCCCAGGCCGCTCCCTCTGCCCGGAGCACCCTGCCCCTTTCCCAGGCACTCACGGGATCTGCTCCAGGACGGTGAGCACCTTGCTCCCCGGGCTGGGCCCGCCGGGGACAAACGCCTTGTAGTCCACAATCATCCACTGGTTGTTGTACCTGCCGTGCCCAAGGACGGGGGCTGAACAGAGCCTGGAGCCACTGCCCTGGTACCCCCTGCCCCCAGGGCCCCACGCAGCCAGGAACCAGGGGCAATGGGCCTGGGGGCGTCCAGCCACCCTGACACTGCAGCCTGACCAGGTGTCTGCAAACCCCTCTCTCATCATGCTGCTTGGCTGTTCCAGAGTATTCTGTGGCTCCCTAGTGCTTATCAGAACAAAGGTGAGTTCCTTTGACAGACATCCCAAGACCCTGAACGACCCAAATATTTCTGGCTCACAGGTGCTGCCGCCCCCATAGCTGTCCCCAACAGCCCACCCCGCTCTGCCCAGAGCCCTCTTGTTCCAAGTTCTCTTCCTGTCCCACCTCCAAGGGCCCCTTCCTGGGCTGGGGAGCCTGCCCGGGAGGCACCAATCTTTTCTCTCGCATTGGAAAGATTTACGTATACAGTAAATACAGTGTATATACAGCGTCCCCGTGTATACGGTGAGGGAGGAGACCCTAGGATTCTTGCAACTGCAGTGACGATCCGTGAGAGGGCTCTGCAGAGGGTGTCGGGTGTGTGGCCCAGGTGCCACGCTGGGTCCCCGAAGGCCTGAGTGTTAAGGGAAGGTGGGTCTGTCACTTGGGGTGGGGAGGCCACGGGGCCAGGAGCTCACTCACGTGCCACTGTTGAACCTCTTGAAGACGTCTGTCCAGGAGTCCCCGTCCAGGGCCAGGCGGTTGGCTACCACGTTGCGCACCCACTCCAGCACACACTCCCTGGGCTGCACGTACTTCCACAGCAGCGGGTTCTTGTTGCCAATGGTGGTCTCCAGAGTGACCTGCGGGAGAGCCAAGGGGGTGCTGCACAACCTGGGCACGCTGCCACCAAGTGGCAGTGCTGTATCGGTCACTGCTCGTAAGTTGGGTACTGAACAGTTTTTTTTAAAACTCATATCCCAGTTAAGGTACACGTTCCTCACCGGTTCCTTGGAGAAGCACTGAGAGGAATTCAGGGTCAGGCACCCACCCGGCTCTGCCCTGGGGAACAGCCCCTGGGGCAGCCTTGAGTGGGAATCCCAGGAAGCCACACCCTCACCAGGTTGGTCAGGTTTCCCCAGAAAGACGCATCCCATTCCCAGCCCTTCCCTGCAAATCTTCAGGGCAAGTTGGGTGGCTTGAGGCTCTTAGTCTGGCAGATCCCGTGGCCAGCGGCCTTGGAGGCCCAGCGACGGAAGGAGGAGGCCCCTCCAGTCTTGGAGCAGGTAAGATGCCCTCCGCTGCCTACAATGCCTTCCCCCCATTTCCTCCTGCACCCCTTGTCTGTCTTACGCATACTTTCTAAACAAAGCCTTATTTGTCAAAAACAAAACTCATGTCAACAGCCAAAGCAATTTTGTTGAACTTGGTTTTCTCTAGTGCATATTAGGAATATGAGGGTTCTAGATACGAAATTATCCAATACTTTGAATCTCTGTGCCTCCGGAAACGCTAACATGCCTTTCTACGGATGTGCACTGGCCCCTCCAGCTGCCTCACTCCCCACCCACTGCCTGGCCCTCTCATGTCTCGTTCCACACTTAGAAAAAAGTGGCCAGGCCAGGTGTGGTGGCTCACGCTTATAATCCCAGCACTTTGGGAGGCCTAGGTGGGAGGATCACTTCAGGACCTTTGAGACCAGCCTGGGCAACACAGCAAGATCCCATCTCTACCAAAAAAATTAAAAATTAGCTGGGCATGGTGGTGCATGCCTATAGTCCCAGCTACTTGAGAGGCTGAGGCAAGAGGATCATTTGAGCCCAGGAGTTTGAGGTTACAGTAAGCTATGATGATGCCACTGCACTCTGGCCTGGGCAACAGAGTGAGACCCTATAAGAAAAAGAAAGGAGAGAAGAGCAAAGAAATAGGACAGACCAGAGAGTCCCTCCCGTCCCAGACCCACAGGGAGCTGGCCTCCTCTGCACTGAGGGTGTTTTTTAAAGTGATGTTTTTTCTCCCCTGCAGTGTTGCCCTGGCGATCGTGGGGTTCGCTGGGGATGCCAGGAACAGATTTCTAAATGAGTCTGGACCCCAGCCAGGAAAAACGATAAAAACACCACATTGTAAACAAGCTCTATTCAGAGAACCTGGCCAGGTCAGCGGGTTCTGGGGAAAGCAAGCGGGAATGCAGGGGAGAGAGGAGGGAGGTTTATCCTGAATACATAAAGACAAAATGAAGCCACCGAGGTCAAGGATACCCCCAAAGTCCCCAGACCAGGACAGGATGCAGAGTCCCAGGCCAGCTGTCGGTTCTCCCACGTGGGACCCGGCAGTCTGCATTTCAACAAGCCCTCGTGGTGGTCCGAGTCCCAGGGCAGGGCTGGGCCTGGCAGGCGGGGGCTGCGTCCACCTGGTCCTCCACTGTGCCCCCAGCTGCAGCCCAGTCCCCACCAGCTGCTTAAATAAACCCCGCTGGCCCGAGCTGCTGGGGAAGCAACACCCCCAGGGACAGAGGAGACACGAGAGGGGACTCACCAGCCCGCTGCCCAGGATGTAGAAGTCATCGCAGGAGAAGATGGTGCCGGGGTAGGAAGAGAAGACCACCTTGTTGCCGGGAACCAGGGGGTCGTCCTCTGTTGGGGGGCAGTGAGCCCAGAGGGCACTGGTCAGACAGGCGCACGCAGGGCCCCCGCGCCCCCGCCCAAGACTTGGGCCTCAAGGCGGGAAGCAGGCCTGCCTCAGAGGAAGCCCCCACTCCATGCCTTCTGTCACTTAGCAAATGAGGTCATTTTGACACATAAGTGTGTGCATGTGTGTACGCGTGTAAACGTAAAAGCTGGCACACTTTGGGAGGCCAAGGTGGGAGGATTGCTTGAGGCCAGGAGTTCAAAACCGGCCTGGGCAACATATCAAGACCTGGTTTCTAAATAAATAAACAAACAGATAGATGGATAGATAAATGAATCAATGAATAGATACATAAATAAATGAATATATAAATAGATACATAGTTAAATAAATAAATAAGTGAATGAATGAATGGATAAATAAGGAAATGAATAAATACATAATTAAACAGATAAATGAGAATCCTCCGTGCTATCTATTCAATGTATCTATAAACCTAAAACTTTTCTTAAAAATAAAGTCTATTAATTTTTAAAAGGTACATATATATACATATAAGTGCATCCAAGGCCAGGTATAGGGGCTCACACCTGTAGTCCCAGCTACTCAGGAGGCTAAAGTGGGAGGATCACTTGAGTCCAGGAGTTTGAGACCAGCCTGGGCAACACAGTCAGATCCAATCTCTAAAACTAAACAAATGCATCCCCCAAAATCTAGATGGATCCAAACCAACATGGCAATAGCACCAAGGGAGATGTACTTCTTCGTCTGTACTGCTGGAATTTGTAGCAATGTATTTATGTATTACTCATGTAATAAAAATAAATGAAAACAAATGAAAAAACTGAGGTACAGTTCTTTTTTTTTTTTTTTTTTGAGACAGAGTCTCACTTTTTTGCCCGGGCTAGAGTGAGTGCCGTGGCGTTAGCCTAGCTCACAGCAACCTCAAACTCCTGGGCTCAAGCAATCCTACTGCCTCAGCCTCCCAAGTAGCTGGGACTACAGGCATGTGCCACCATGCCCGGCTAATTTTTTTAATATATTTTTAGCTGTCCAATTAATTTCTTTCTATTTTTGGTAGAGACGGGGTCTCACTCTTGCTCAGGCTGGTCTCGAACTCTTGAGCTCAAACAATCCGCCCACCTCGGCCTCCCAGAGTGCTAGGATTACAGGCATGAGCCACCGCGCCCGGCTTGAGGTACAGTTCTTAAAAGCCTAGAAGAAAACATAACCAAATGTTTGCAGAAATTTTCCCTCGCAGGTTGCGGGGCAGTCTAGTGATTTTCACTGTGAGTGCATTTTGCTGGATCTTCCAATGTCCTGTAACATACCTTATGTCTTATGCAGTTTTTAAAAGATGTGATACAAACTTAATGGATATACGGCAATCAGAAGGACAGAGCTACGGCTACACACAATAATTCGGGTTAATCTCAGAGACAGGTGGAACGAAAGAAGCCAGACACCAATGAGCACAGGCCATGACGACTCCATTCATCTAACATTCAAAAACAGCAAACCTAATCTCTGCCGTGAGAAATCGGACGGAGGTGCCTACACTGGCGTGTGGGCAGTGCCTGGAATGCAAGAGGTGCTTTCAGGGGCCGGGGCTGCTCCGTTTCTCAAGCTGGGTGCTACACGTAGGAGTGCTCGATGAGCAAAAAATTCAAGTTTTACACGTACGCTGTGTGCACTTTCCTGCATAAATGTCGATTTTGAATTTACTTAAATTTAAATGAAGGGACGTTAGGTTGTCGCCAAACCACTGTGGCAGTGGTTCCTTGTGCAGAAACTGAAATGTCTCTCTAGGGACAGATCTGAATCAGAGCTGCTGCATCAGTGGGGTGACAGATTTTGAATTTTATTGGACTCCAGCTGGGTTCCTCTCAAAAGCGGCCGTGCCGACGCGCGCTGCGGGAGCAGTGCGTGGGTGTGCGCTCCTACACCTCCTCGCCACCTGCGGGCGTCGTCCAGTGCTTGGGTCTGGCCAAGAAGGAGGCACTGCAAACATCTGGCAGCGGCACCCCTCGGGCAGAGGCTGCGGCCCGGAATCGGGGTGCAGCTCCATGGGGGGCAAAGTTTTCACACTGGACAGAAGAATGTCCTTGTGTGTTCTTGGTGCGGTTGGTGGGTTGCAAAAATGGCTGTAATTCTTCCCGTGCCTTTTGCAATGTGACCTGGAGGTTCCTCTCCTCAAATGGTGGGGGCTGTTCCCTCACCTCTTGAATCGGCCTGGCCACTCGACTTGCTTCGAATGACAGAATGCTGTGCCCCTTTCAGCCGGGCCTCAAGAGTCCCGCACGTGCCTGCCCACAAGCCGCGGGGACAAGCCTGGGCTTGCCTGTTGGGGATGAAAGACCAGCTGACAGTCAACCCCCAGACGTGGCAATGAGGCCACACGGGGCCAGGCGGCCGCCCCAGCTGACCTGCCAGCGCACCACGGAAGCGCCAGTGAGCCCAGCCTGGCCTGGCCCTAAATGTCAAACCACCCAACTGACCGACCCATGGACACGGGAGCAAAAAATTAATGCTTGTGGGTTTAAGCTTTTGCCGTTTTCGAGGTTGGCGTGACTGGTTATATAGCAATAGCTAACTGATCCACCTCGTAAAATGAAAACCTGAAAGGAAATAAACATTTTAAAAAACAAATTGAACCCTTGGAATGGCCCTAGAGGGACCCCTGTGTGTGTGGTGGGGGGCGCGGCTGCGAAGGCAGGCCCCCACCTCCCAGGCCCACCCCCACCTGTGTGACCCCCACATCCGCCTACCCCGGGGGCCTTTCCGGAACTGGAACCAGTACTTCTTGATGACACGCAGCATGTGCTGGTAGTTGTTCCAGGTGTTGTGGGCGACGAGGAGGTCGCTCTGGCCGGGCAGCAGCTTGATGAGGGCGGAGCAGGAGCCGGAGCCCAGGGAAGCTTTGGTCTTGGTCTTATTCAGGGCGGGCTCCAGGTCTTCCAGGTCCCCAGAGATCTGCAGCAGGCTGGGGAGGGCCAGGGTACCGGAGGGTCACCGCGCCTGCTGTGGGTGCCGTTACGTACCCATTTCACAGAGGAGAAGGCTGAGGCTCAGGAGGTTAGCTGACTGGTCCGAGGCCGTGGAAGCAGGAAGTGGCAAAGCTAGCACTAGAACCTGGGTCTGTCTAGGGGGTGCGTGGCCCTTTGCCCCACCCTGTCCACTCTGCGGGAGGCACTTACAGGAAGCCCAAGGGCTTGATGGTAAAATTCCCAGTCGGGAAGGTCACACGGCCTTCGTAGCTGTCCTCCAGGCCTTTCAGCTGCAGGAGGGTCAGCCGCACCTGGGGGAGGGGACGGGGCAGAGGGAGGGTGAGGACTCTCCCCCAGGCTCACACCTTCCTGAAATGGGGTGGGGAGCTCCGGCCGGGGCATTCAGACAGAGCAGGAGAGGCCCAGGGGCACCCTGCAGGCTCTACCCTGACCCCGCCCAACCACCACCCACCCCTCCGTGCTGAGTACCCTCCTGCTTTCAATAAATTAACTGTATGTCCTCACCCTGCGTTGACCCCAACTCGCTTCCACTTAATAGCCTAGTTCAAAGCCACCTCCTCCAGGAAGCCTCCCAGCCTGGCCTGACTTTAGTTCCTGACTGTGCTGGTGCCTCAGGCACCTGCCTCACGTATCTGACTTCTCCTCACTGTCACTGCTTTGCCCCAACATCCTGTACCCAGGGGTTTCAGCACCGTGTCCCTCACAAGGCCTGTGCTGGGCGCACACTGGGCATATCTGTAAGACGGAGGGAGGGTGAGCAGACGGACGGGTGGGTGGGTGGACGTGTGTGCAGTGGGTGAGAGGACAGGTCGGGGGCTGAGCAGGAAGGTGGGTGGACAGTGACAAATCCTACTGGAGGAAATGATGCAAACCTGGCCCGAGCCAGGTGGACGCACCACTTGGGATCGATGGCCACGTCCCAGGCCGGCCTGTCACCTGCACTTAGCAGTCAAACTCCCGAGGCTTTTCAGGGAATTCATAAAGAACCGACTTCCCCACTGCGGACCAGCCAGCAGCCCAAAGGCGGGCACCCCTCCCCCAGGCCTCTCCATCAGCCGTGGGATCAGCCGCTCACCCAGGGAACGGAGAACGAGCTTCCCCCGCACCCCCTGGGGCCTCAGTCTCCCCAGCCCCCGGCTGGCACTGCTTCCACCCACAGCCACGGAGGCGACCTGTGGAGCGACCTCCCCGTGTGCAAGCACAACAGTGCACTCGGCTGTGTTTTTAGCCCCTCTAAAAACACACGTGGACAGACAGAAGTTCAGACACGTGGAGACTGGACAGGTGGCCGAGTGGCCGGTCAGCCAGGAGGGATGGGGATAAGAATGGGGACCGGGGTGGCTGTGCAGCTGGACACGCCACAGGGCTGACCAGCAGCGCGGGAGACAGGACACGTGGCCAGCTGGGGGTCTGGCCGCGTCAGTGGTGGCCCAACCCCCGCCGAGCGTGGCAGCCGGGCCCACCTGGTGCCAGTAGGCGGAGTCCGCGTTCAGCGCCATCTCCTCCCGCACCCACTCCAGGTTGGCCTCCAGGAAGCTCTTGAGCCGCTCGCAGTAGCCGACCTCGTACTCGAAGGGGCCGCAGTAGTTGACCACTGTGTTCATCCAGTGCATGTAGATGAGCTGCGGGGGGGCACGTGGGCAGGGCGGGGCAGGCGGCTGCTGCCCTCTTCCCCGGGACCCCCTGCCCAGGCCTCCCAAGAGCAGAGGGGGTCCTCTCCCGGCCGGGCCCCTCCCACTCCAGCTCCACCCCATCAGGGCCCCCGCGCCTCCGAAGCCTCCCTCCTCCGAACGGCGTCAGCAGCAAAGCCAGATACCCTACGCTGCCCCTCCTCTGTTGCTGGGGACCCCAGTCTGAACTCAGCCGGTCTGTCAGCCAGCAAATGTTTCTTGAGCACCTATTATTCTCTGCTCTGAGCACTGAGGACAGCAGTGACCGAAACAGCAATGATCCCTGCAGACTCAGGGTCCCGGGAGGCCATCCAGAACCACAAGTGGCTGTCAGAAGGAGCAGTGTGAGTTCTATAAATGGGTGTCCCCCTGGGGCTGTCTTCCCTCTTGCCACCACGCATCTCAGGGTCACCCACGCTGCCCGTCCGCTTCTGCTGCCCTCTTGCGTTCCACGTGAGTCTCACGCTGGCTACCCAGCCACCCGCGGGGGGCATCGTGTGTGCTCCCGCTTGGGGCTGCTCTGAGCACCTCATGTACGTCCCTGGGTCCCTCACGGCGTGGGAGGTGGCCGTCACCCCACCGCCTCACTCACTTCTGATGCTGACTTCTTAAATGCATAATTATCACTTTTATAAAACTCGAAATCAAGTAAAGCAAAATAAAGTGTTCGGGGATTCATCACGTGTAGTAAAACCGGTTTAACAAGAGTGACGGGGTGGACGCAGCTCAAACGCCCACCCGCCGAGGAAGGGCAAACAGAACGTGTGTCCGCGCGATGGAATATTACTCGGCAATAAAAAGGAACGAGGTACTGACACACGCCACGACGTGGATGGATTCTGCAAACATGCTAAGCGGAAAAAGCTAGTCACAAAAGGGCACGTGGTGTGTGATTCCACTTAATGTCCAGAACAGGCCAATCCGTGGAGACAGGAAGTGGATTAGGAGGTGCCGGGGGTTGGGGGAGGGGGAGTGGGCAGTTACTGGCCAGTGGGCCCGGGGCTTCTTTCTGGGGTGACAAAAATGTCTTGGAATTAGACAGTGCTGATGGTTGCACAACCTTATGAATACACTAAAAAGCAGTGAATTGTACATTTTAAGCGGTGAACTTTATTGCATGTGAATTATGTATGTCGATATAATGAATGAATGAGTGGAAGGGAAGGACAGCTATCGCATTTAGGGTGGTGGGCGCTTCTGCAGGGAGAGGAAGCAGGGGTCAGGGGTGTCCAGTGGCATCGGTAACATTCTAGGTTTTAGTGTGGGAGCTCACTTTATTATTGTGCTTCGTAACTTAGAATGTGTTACGTGATTTTTCTAGGTATCAAGCAGAACCTAGTGTCGTTTTTTAAAGAACGCATATCAGCTTTTTTCTCCCCAGCTAGATGGAGGGCTGTGGGCATGGGTGGGGAGACCCACTCTGCATATACCTCAAAACCCCCCAAAAACCCCAAAAGCACTCTGGGGACACCCTGGGAGTGGGACAGGCTGGGAGCCCCAGGTCGCCACCGTGGCCCTTACCTCCTGGGACACAGCGGCTTCCACCACGCCGGCTGCGTAGGCCTGCAGGCTGTCATTGTAGCTGCCACTCGTGCCCAGCTCCAGAAAGGCCCACCTGGGTGGGGGGAAGGAGGGGACACTCAGTCAGTGGCAGGGGCCCCCAGCTGGACACACAGCTGTCTCCACAGGTGACACAGTGGTCAAGAGCCATTTGCCAGGCCAAATCCCTAAAAGAGGAACTGCTGGGTCAAAGGACCTGTGTATTTTCAGTTTTAACGGATATTGACAAATAGCCTCTCCCAAAAAGCTGCACCCGTCTGCACTCTCTCACCCACAAGAACGGCGGCTAACATCGACTGGGGCCTCCTCTGTGCTGGGCGATGCTCTAGTCACCTTCATGTCGGAGAACTCATTGAACCCCATGATAGTCCTGCAGTCCCATGAGGTAGGTGCTATTATTGTCCCCATCGTAAGGAAGAAGAGGAAATTAAAGCACAGAGTCACGTCCCTGCTGTGGCAGACCGCCACCCCACCCCGGAATGCACACCCTGTGCTGGGTGACTTTGCAACTCCTCCGCCAACGGCCAAGCATCCTTCCTTCCCTGCGCCTTGATCTGGCTTGGACGTCTCATGCTTTGGCGGATGGGAAGTGGGAGCGTACCCGTTATAAGAGCAGTCTTTGAGAGGCCTCTTGTGTTTCTACCTGCCCTTTGTGCCTCTGTTATTGCCACTCAAATTACGTGCCCGGCCAGCCCACTGGTCACAAGAGCCTGAGAGCCACGTGGAGCAGACCAGGTCTGCAGTGTGAAGCAGAGCCGCCCCAGCCACCCTACGGTGCGAGGAGGCTCAATGTTATTGGTTTAAGCCACCGGGTTTGGGGCTGTTTGTTACACAGCCCTGGTGCCCGATACTAGCTGATACACTTGAAGAGTCACAGAGCTGGCAGGGGCGGGATTCGAGTTTGGGCAGGCTGGCTCCCACTCCTCTGAAGCAGCACTTGTCAGACTCTGATGTATGTCCTGGTCACCTGAAGCCCTTGTTGGGAGGTAGATTGGGAGGTCTGCTACGGGGTGGGTCCGAGACTGCCTCTCTCCCATGAGCAAACTCCTGTTTGCCCCCTCCCTCACTTAAAATGGTTCCCAGCAAACTTTTTCATCTTCGCCAATGAAAGTTGAAAAATTCCATCATGTTTTTTTTTTTTCTTTTCTTGAGACAGAGTCTCGCTCTGTAGCTCAGGCTAGAGTGCTGTGGCATCAGCCTAGCTCACAG